ACTTTAAATTATGCATCTATTAATGTGCAACAACATAAGAAGCAAAATATAGAAGTTGGAGATTAACCCAGGGTATAACGCCTTCTTTATATTTGGGGTGTTAACTTAATATTAACAGTTATCAATACAGAGATGATGATAGTTGCAATAACTTCAGATGAGGTTTATCCTGGTTATGATTAATTTCTCTGTATTTTCACCATTACAGACTGTCATTTGATCCAACGATTGAAAGTTTTTTTTAACATTGTCTTAAAGGTCTATCAGTGCTTTTGCTTTGTGGTGAAAAAAAAAGTAAAATCACAAAAATACTGAACGCTGAGGAAAAGTCAAATCAGAAAGTCCCTAAACAAATGGCAAAATCAAAAGATAATGAGTAAATGCATTTTTTTGGGTTCTTCGTTAAAAAAAAAAGATGTCATTTAAATTAAAATTTCAGATTTATAATGAAAATTTTCCTAAGACATTTAAATTAAAATTTAAGATTTATAGTGAAATAATAATTTTCCTAAAATTTTTACATTTTCAAAGCATTGTAGTTGTCAGATTATAGAATAACATAGTACTTGAAATTGATTTAAACTCGTAGTCTAGTGCATGCAAAGTTCCGAAGCAAAACATTCTTTATCTTCAGAGTTTTGGTGTAGACTTAACAAATATCAAATGATCATTTCAGAAATACATTATGCTTGGAGCGCTGCGTGTCTTTACTAACATATAACAAAGTTGCTTATTGGTGTTTAAGTAGTAAGGTTGGTTATATCTTCTGTTTATTTCAGTTGTTCTTTGGATGGTTCTTTGGTTTTGAGGTATTTAGGGTGTGGTGTTTACCATTCGAAGGAATCTATATATATGTAATTCTGAAATGAAAAATATTTGATATTTCTAGTCATAAAAAAAATAATCAAATGTTTGAGCATAAAGCTGCTTTGAACTTTGAATCTGTACGATTTTCATACTTTCTTTAATTTCTTATTTTCAAAATTGAAAATGAATATCTTCAATCAAAATCAAAATCTAAATTGTATTTGACATATTATGATGTATTGGAAATGGAAAACTAGATAACATATTCTCGTAAATTAAGTTGAATTCAGGGGGAGTGGAAAATGATCCCAAAAGTTTTTTAAATATACTTTATCTTCTTTAAAATTGTTTCTGGGTATCTACATCTTTAAAGCACTGATCGCTATTAAGATAATATAGAAGTAAAAATACATTTTTATAACAGTCAAGCCATAACGAAAATTCTGCCATACAAAAAAGAATTTGGATGTTTAATCTACATTTATTATAGAGTTATAAACAATCGCAAAGGTTATTAATTCTTACTTGACTGAAAGCTTGTACAAGTCTTAATATTTGGTGAACAATAATAAATTTCTATGATATATATATTATTATCACTATTTTACTGAATTTTCCTTTGATCTTACTGATAATTTCCTTTCTCAGCATAGTAGAAAGATATGGAAAGTATCTCTAGAAACTAAGGCTGCACGTGCCATTGTCAATGTAAATTTCAACGTCGTCATAAGCAAAATAGCGATAAACAGATTATCATTGGTCATCTCAACTTGATTGTTTTTCTCACTTTCGCCGTACCGGCTCAAGGGAGAATCAATCTCGTTGAGATGACCAATGATATTTATAATGATTTCCAATACCCTAAAAACTTCATTTTGAGTTATCTGAAATTATCATCATCTCCAAGTGAAGAGTTATCTAACTTATCAATCCCGATATCTTACAGTAGTTATCTCCCTTTGCTTCAAGCTTCTCAACCTTGGGTTAATTTTCAACTCTCACCTTCAGCACTAGGTTTTCATCCACAGATTCCAGACATTTAATGATAACTTCATTATTATGAGACCATAATTGACAACTGGTATTAATGTTTTAATTTTACTTGTTAGTCCCATTTAACAATTGCTCATCGTAATTTGTAAAATTAAATTGTCTTGAGTTTAAGCATTTCTTTGTAAAAATTTCCTGTTTTAATAATAGAAAATTAATCTTTTTAACTTCCCAAGCCATTCTGTGATCAATATATTAAAGGATAATTTTGTCCAGCTTCTTGAAATAAGTTTTCTTTTTTGCAATCAAAAGTATTGACAGCTGAGCAGGATCATTTCAAGATCACAAAAAAGGAGCTGAAAACTGGTCAATTTTATTCTATTTATCATGTGTACATGAAAAGGAGTAGATTGTACAACACAAAAATTTCAAATTTCAAATCATAAGTTTGTTGAAATATAGCTCATTTTATACAATTTAGATCTTTTATTGAAAAAGGTATTAGACTGATCTTAACCCTATCATACCATTTGAATTACAACATAAATTAATTTGCTCCTTGGTATCAAACCATTCTATCTTTTTCAAATTTGGTAATTACAATATAGGTAAAGCACTTGCCATCATAAAATACTTTAAAAAAATAAAATAAGTAAAACCCAATTATCAATAACTGACTGCAGCTATTCTTCATTGGATCCTTTTTGAAACTCATGGCCAGACAAAGAGTAATCTAAGAGCTTGACTCTTTAACAGGGATCCAACTTTAGCCTCATTAGTTCAAAGGAGTTTTCCATTAGTCCATAATAATTAAGAAATAATTGTTGCAAGCTATACTTTATTGTAGTTTTAACATGGGTAGGCATTATATACGTGATTATTTTTGCCTGAGCGATAGCTTACAATCAGTTCTGTTAACCAAGCAGTTTTAGATTTATATTAGACCCTGTTTCAGACTTTGGGGATTTAATCACTAAAAAAGTTAAAGATAACCAGACTATTTTAGATTTAACTGGTAATCTGCTTTCTTTTCCCGGTAGCAAAAAAGAGCTGATTCCTGTAAGTCTCTATATTGGCTGCTTCTGATTCTTATCCATTTAAGGAACCAATGATTCCGGAGAGTGAAGTAACCTTGCCTCAGTCCATTATTGTCAAGATATCAGTGATTTTCCTTTTTTTCTGACAAAAGTCATTGGAAGTAATCTTACATAAAACAAATTTTGATATAACTTATATATATATATATATATAAATCAAAAATGCTATCATAAATAATCTGGGAACAAAAAATTTTACTTTTTCAATTGTAAATTTTGCTACTATTTTTCTTTCAAGTATAAAACTAAAGTAAAAAGTAAAAATCTATTTTATTGAAGCATTACGTGCCATTTGAGTTTTGAAATTAATTTAAATTATAAAGTATTGAAATTAATTTTTATTATAAAGAATCAGTATTTATATCATTTCTTTGAGTTCTTAATTTTTTCTTTCTAAATTTTGTTATTAAATCTAAAGATTTCATACTTGATACATGTAATATCATTTTGCATCATATTTGTATTTTTTCATTTCAGCTTCTTTTGTACCACTGAAACTTCACAGAATAATTGCATACATTTTGAAGTTATGTACCTGCTTATATGAAATTGTTTGAGGAATTTCCCCCCATTTTTCCCTTAATTCTGATCTTGATGATTGTTTTCCAAAATTTTCAAAGATGGTACTGATTTTGTGTAATCAACTCCTGCAGTTTTCAATCTCAATCTTTTTAACTTCACACAATGATTGTACAAATATTTAAGTTGTCCACTTGGTACTATGGAATTGTTTGATAATATTTTTCCTGACTTGGAAACTAAGTAATTTTTCATCAAAGGTAAAATAAATAGTTTTTAACCCATATCTTTTGGAATTCACAGAGAGTTTGCAAATCTATAGAGGCTTTTACAAATTTTTGGACTATACATGACTACTATGTACATGTGTAGTAAACCTTGAAAATGAGATATTTTTTATTAAACTATGCTTCAAAATATTTTAAAAAAATGTGGATTTATATGTGTTTATTATACTATTACTACACTGTACTTTTTTTCTTACATTTGTATAAGTATTTTCATATCAGATGTCTGGTAACTTATATAAAAGCTATTATCTAGAGCTCTGTAAATAAAAAAAAATGTAAACATAGTTCTAAAATATACTTTTAATGAGTGGAAGAAATTGTGGGGTACAGAATACATTTCGTAAATTATCAAAATACAAGTAACCTGTTTAAAAGCATGTCTGGTATTTTTACAGTACTTTTTAAATGAATTTAATAAATTATTTGTATTTTAAATTGAGAATTTCTTCAGTTTCCATGATTGGAAAAATAATGTGAGATGCCTTGGAACATTCTGGTGACTATTGTACATTTTATAATGTACAATGGAAAGGACATTTCATTACTTAGAGAAAATGGATTCAGTGGACTGATTAGCATAAAAAACTATGATGGAAAACCTTTGAAATCAGCCAGGATAGCAGCTCCAAGGAAGATGGTCAAATAAATCTTCAACCAAGTCTGAGGCTTTTACCAAGAAATTAAGAAGGCAAGTTTATTTAAGCCAAATATTTGTATATATTTCCAGAAATATTGGACAAGAAGTGCATATTAAGACAACACGCCAGCACCCTTCTGATCTTCTGCATGCAAAACACCATTGATGTATTATTTTTAAATAGTTTTATAATTTAAGTTACCATTTTCTTGAAGATTTTCGATCAAAATATTTAAAACTTCAAGGGGAGACAAGTACAATTAACAGCGAGATTTGTTCATTCAATGGGATATAACTCTTAAATTTTTGTGCAGTTAAATTCAAACAAAAACCTTTGACTTGTTTTATTTTTATTATGTCAAGTTTTCTGTTTAGTCAGGTTAATAGTTACTCCTTGCTCTAGCTCAATGACATTTTGTATTTATTTGCATTACTAGCAAATTATCAAATTATTTAGCAATGTTGCTAATCATCAGATGTTTTTCATTTTCCGCTGCTAGGCGAGACATCTCTGTCAACAGTTTATCTTACAAACTTGTGTTGATACTATTGTGTACATTTTGTAAGAAATCAGAATATTATATAGTGACTTTATATTTATAGAGAAATGGATTTGTAAAATATATAATGTGTCTTTTTTAATTCTTTTTAGGATCTTCTGTGATATGTTTTCATGGTGTGGGAATAAGACTTGGTGGTCTAATACAGCTAATACGAAGGTATGTACCAGTATGTTAGTCCTGTTTTGAAAAAAGAAAAAGTATTATAAAATGTATTTGGAAATAGCATGTGCTCTAAGCGTGAATGTTTGTAGGAGTTTGGTAAGAAGTCTTTGCTTTCTTTAATTGCCTTTTAAGGAGTAAATTTAATTATCTGATTTGATTATGTAAAAGTTTGTTGGGATGCTGGTTTGCTGTTCTCAACTTCCATTACATATTTATAGACTTTTATTTAATTTGCCACTGGACATTTAGCAACCAACAATCGAATGAATCAATCATTCAAAATATGGAATATACATACAGTATATCAAAAATGATCCTTTTAAACAATTTTGAATGACTAATCATTTTATTTTTCAGGTTAGCATCACAGCTTGTCTGTAAAGATTGAAGCTGGGAGTGGGCATTGGAGCTGACTTTTATGGTAAGAACCAATACAAAAAAAAACAATATGTAAAAAAAGAAATATGTTAGACATCTACCATTGACTTGTTTTTCATCCATTTCTGCTAATAAAGACTGGTAGTTCAAAAAATATATCAGCAAATCACTTTTAAACAAAGTAAGAGAAAGTTTTATGAATCATGATTATAATGACCAGTTATTTATTATTTTGCATTTGATATTGTTTCAATTTTCAGATTTTGACAATTACGTTTAATTCTGTATATTTCTTTTTCAGGTAACTGTGGCTGCATAAAAGGGCTATGTGATTTTACTGTAACAGTAAAGAATGTAATTCAGACTATTTTTGTGTATGTTTGAGAAAATGTTTATAATTTTTACGAAAAGAAAAAAAAAATTATGTACAGGTTCTCCATTTTCAACAAGATTGGAAGTTGTAGGTTGATAGGTCTTTGAAATTTCAAAAATTACTTTCTATTTTCTGTTCATACTCATGTCTAGGCAAAACACTTCCAGTAGTTTAAGAATGGAGAATCTAAAAAAAAAGAAAAAAAAGAAAAGAAAAAAAAGAAAAAGAAAAAAATGTTCGATTATTGAAATGTTTTTTATTTTTGCAAATTGTAATATATTTTTTCACCTTTGTGTCATTTTTAGCTGAGTTTATAACACAGGGTATATTATTTTAAGAATATCTTACAAGAAGCATAGTTGAAGAATATCTTGATGAAAGTAGATTGATTGATTTTTGGTATTTAACACCACTTTCAGCATGATTTGCTATATCTTGGCTGCCAGTTTTTATTTGTGGAGACAGCCTGGTGAAAACATCCCCTTCAACAGAGAAACTAGCAACTCTAGTCAATTAAGCTTAAGATTGACGTTAAACACACCTACCATGTGAGGGTTCAGAGTGTTGACAGGCTAGTGATACAGTAGTTTTTGACCATTCAGCCACCATTACTCCATCCGCACTAAATATGTTATTGAAATGTGTTGAATTTTTGTAATTTAATTATTTTTTTATTTTGATTACCGGTATACTATTTATGTTTTTTTGTTATATATAACAAAGATGTGGAGTTCTAACGGTGAAATTTAGGTCAAAGGGAGGTAATTTATTATACTGTGTTTAACTTCAAATACTTGAAATTCCCTCAATGTTAGATTTTTATTTACTTGGATACTCACATTTATGCACTTTTTTACATATCAGATGTTTTCTAGATAATAGAAATTTAGGGTGGGAAAAATTATGTGTCACTTAAAATAATTATGTGAAATTTTTTCAAAAAGTTTATTAATTGAAAGTGCATCTGATATTTTTTATGTATGTTACTTTATTTTCTAAAAACAAATGGACACAACATAGATTGACAATAAGATATCGAGAAGAACCACCTTGTCAGCCAGGATAGCAGCTCTTAGGAAGATGGTCAATTAAATCTTCAACCAAGTCTGACTCTTTACCATGAAAATAGAAAAGGCAAGTTTATTTTAGCCAGATCTTTTAAGATAACAGACCCTTCTGAAATATTGCATTTAAAACACCATTGATGAATTAATTTACCAGTTTAGTTTTTAAAGATACAAGATACATGAACAAGATTTTCTATTAAAATATCAATAGTAAATCCTAAAAATAGTCATTAAACTTCAAGAAAAGACCAGTACAATTTAAAACAATTTTGCATTCAATGGGAGATAACTTTGTAAAATATTCAGATATTTTTTGTGCAGTTAAATTTAAATCTGACGTTTTTTTACTTTTCTATCTTTTATATTGATTTAAAAAAAAATGATTTTATACAATTGTCTACCTGCAATAAGAAATCAGAACAATATTTAGTAAATTTTAGGTTATCGGTAACACATAAATTGATTTACAAAATGTATAATGTGTTGATTATAATTTTATTTCAGGTTCTTTCTGAGACATGTTTTCATGGTGTGGGAATAAGACTTGGTGGTCTTGTACAGCTAATACAAAGGTATGTACCAGTATGTTAGTCCTGTTTTGGAAAACTCAAATGTATTATAAATATTTTATGGAAAAACAAGATTTGAACGCTTAAAAGATTTTTTACAGGAATCTACTCTTATTATTATATCAGTAACCAAATAAGAGTAAAGTTTAGGATCTGAATTGTTAACATAAAAATGTGTTGGCTTGTTGGATTGCTGTCTCATCCATGTGTTCTTGACATATATAACACATTTTAAGACTATTTCTATTTAATGATTTGCCACTGGACCTTAAGCAACCAACAACCAATCATTCAATCTATTCAATATACAACAAAGAACCTTTTAAACAGTTTTTATACAGCCGTTAAGGGATGTATTATGGTATACCATTGTCCGTCCATCCGTCGTCAACATGTCGGACATTAACTCAAAAACGCTTTAACAAATTTGCATAAAATTTTGGTGAATTGTTTATATCTATTGACGTGAGCTCCCTTTCGTTTTTTATAAATTTTAGATTTTACGTTTCCGAGTTACGGGGTTTTATTCATTAAAAAAAGGGGGATTTTCCAGTTTTTCGGACAATAACTCAAGAATGCTTTCACCAACTTGCAAGAAATTGTGGTGAATTGTTTATATCTATTGACATGAGCTCCCTTTCGATTTTTAAAAATTTTAGATTTATTACGTTTCCGAGTTACAGGGTTTTATTAATGAATTATCATTTTATATTTCAGGTTAGCATCACAGCTTGTCTATAAGGATTGAAGCTGGGAGTGGGCATTGGAGCTGACTTTTATGGTAAGAATCAATACATATATTTATGAACTTTTCATCCGAGAGCATTTTAAAGCCCAAGGTTTTTGTTAGGCACAGATGTTAATCTTACATATTAATGTCTTCTTTACTTATAGTTGAATAAGGGGCCTCGGTGGCTGAGTGGTCTAAGTAGTTACTACTGTAATCACTAGCCAGTCAACACTGAGGTTGTGAGTTCGAACCCCGCTTGTGCGGGTGCACTCGACTCCAATCTTAATTGACTAGGATTGTCAGTTTTTCTATCGAAGGTCGGTGGTTTTCTCCGGGCACTCCGGCTTCCTCCACCAATAAAAACTGGCCGCCACGAAATAGCCCAAAAGCGGTGCTTAAAAGTGGCGTTAAAACACCAAAAATCAAATCAAAATCAAATATAGTTGAATAAACAATTTAGAAGGAGATATAAAGATATATAAGGGAAGTCAAAAAGTATAATGTATAATGCGAATTCTTGGGATTTCAGTTTTTTTATCTATAGTTGTCCCCATATATGAAAATATGTAATTGTGGTATGTATGCCAATGAGACAGCTATCAACCAGAGACCAAATGATATGGATGCAACTAAATGTCACCCTATGCCTTCATCAATGAGCAAAACCTATATTGTATAGTTAGCTATAAAGGTTCAACATGACTAAATGTTAAAAAATTCAATCAAGTATGTTAATAGCCTGATATACTATATATAGCTATAAAACAATGTTAAAAAGATATTTGTCAAGACATCAGCCAATGGCTTGTTTTTCATCCTTTTATTGCTAAGAAATACTGGTACTTTAAAATTTATGTCAACAAATCACTTTTAATTTATAACAAAGAAAAAGAAATGTTGTTCTATACATTATAATTGTAATGCTCAGTTAATTATAATTGTTTTGCATTAAATATTATTTCAATGTTCATGAGTAATGTCTATTTCTTTTTCAGATAACTGCGGCTGCATAAAATGGTTGTGTGATATAACTGCAACAGTAAAGAATGTAATTCAGACTATTTTTGTGTATGCTTAAAAAAAAAAATATGTAAAGATTCTCCATTTTCAACAAGATTGGAAGTTGTAGGTTAACTTGTATTTGACATTACAAAAATTCTATCTATTTTCCGTTTATACTCATGTCTAGTCAAAACACTTCCAGCAGTTTAAGAATGGATAATCTAAAAGAAAAAGAAAGAAAAAAGAAAAAAAAATGTTCAATTATTGAAATGTATTTTTTTTTTGCAAATTGTAATGTATATATTTTTGCCATCTTTTTGTTATTTTAGGATTTGAGATACTTTCAAATTTTACACGTTACTTTATACATATTGTTAATGCAATTAGATCTGCCGATGTGAATATTCCCACTAAATTTCTTAGCAAAAATTTTAATTATTTTTGTTTTTTGTTAGCAACGTTTCAAAATACCTTACCATAGCAAATGCCTCTCTAGTGTAAACTGAAAAGATGAATAATGGTCTGCAGTAAATATATCCCCTTACAACCTTTTCTTTCATGTTAATTTTAATATCTTTAAGATAATGTGACAAGGGTGCTCTAATGCAGAGGAATTTATGAAGTTAAGAAGTTAGAAATATATTTTTTGCACTTTTTTTGTCATTTTTAGCTGATTTTGGTTTGTAACCAAGGTGATATTTTTTAAAGAATAATTTTACAAAAGGCATAGTTGAAGAACATCTTGTTGAAATTGGATTGGTTGATTTTTGGTGTTAAACACCACTTTAACATGATTTACTATAATTTTGGCTGTAAATTTTTATTTGTGGAGACAGCCAAAGTGCCTGGTGAAAACATCACCTTCATCAGGGAAACGGGCAAACCCTAGTCAAATTAAGAATGAAGTTACACATTTCATGTGAGGGTTCTCAGTGTTGACAGGCTAGTGATGCAGTAGTTGAACTACTTATAGGACCACTCTGCCACCATAAGTCGATCAGTACGAAATATTTTATTGAAATGTGTTAGATTTTTGTTATCAATCTATTTTTTAATTTTAATTGTACTATTTTATTTATTTTGTTTGATATAACAAGGATGTGGAGTCCGAACAGGGTGAAATTTGGGTCAAAGGGAGGCAATTTATTATACCCCTGTTTAACTCCACATACTTGAAATTCCCTCAATGTTAGGATTTTCATCCACTTGGATATTCATGTTTGTACATTTTTTTTTAATATCAGATGTATACTAGCTAATATTGACTATTATTTAGAGCTCTGTAATAAAAAAAAATAAATGTAAGCAGAGCTCTAGATAATAAGTATGCAGGGTAGGAGAAATCTTGGGTCATTAACAATTGATTTGCTGAAATTTTCAAGAAAGGGGATTTATTGGAAATGCATCTGATATATTTAATATATAAAACTATATTTAAAAAAAAAAGATGTTAAGATGATGAGGAGAGCCACCTTGTCAGCCGGGAGAGCAGCTCTAAGGGAGATGGTCTTTTTAATCTTCACCAAGTCTGAGGCTTTACCATGAAAAATATGTGGTAAGTTTATATATTCCACAAGTTTTATGGTAATAATATATATATAGGCATTTAAAATTATTTTTTAAAGGTTCTTTTCTATCAGTGTTTGATTTTTAGAGTATCTAGTCTTACATTTGTTTTCTGTCTGGTATCGAGTGAGCTGTGTTGGATAGAAACCAACTGTATGCAAGTTATTATCAATGAATTTGTAAACTTATTTGGGTCGAACAAATTTTTATTCAAGTCTGTAACTGTTTGAATATTGAATTGATATAGAATCATTTTCATAAAAGTGTGGACAAGACGATTTCTTGGCGCTCTTATGTTATCGTTTGACTGGGTCAGATAAGGTGAAAGTTTGTCTGTAACGCCCACTTGTCACATTGAATGTGTTATAGACATTTAAACGGGGGTCGCCAAAGGTTCTAAATGCCTACATCAAATAGTAGGAATTACTAGCAGAGGACTAAACCTTGTGTGTTGATTTAAATGTTGAATAATTATTTTCTTTTTTTCTTCTCTTGTGCCTACATGTACTTTGCTCTTTTATTCTTTTTAAATCCCTATTGGAAGGCCTCTGACAGACTGAGTGAGCGTAAAATCACTGTTATCGATAGCCAATGGCAAACAAGTTAAAGGTACTGTAAATTCAGAAATTATTGCGTGCAATTATTAATAAATAAATTTGGTGTATTTACTGTCTTCTGATTGGTTAAAAGTATTACTTTATATTCATACGCCAACATCCGTGTATGTATGTTATGGTTAATATAAATAATATAAAAAGTTCTTTTGAGCCTTATTTTTGATAGAAATTTATTTATAATGAATGACTATAATTTATTTTGAATTTATTGAACCATAAAATTAATTTTTGACTCTCCTCATTTTACATAATCCACTTCTCGGATTATTCAATGTGAAGAGTCAAAAACTAATTTTATGGTTCAATAAATTCAAAATAAATAATAACCATTCATTAATTGCGATTTTGTAATTTTAGACTAAAATGCGATTTTAATTTTTGCGATATTGAGAAAAATCCTGTTTAATTCATATAAAAAATTTCAAATGCTAGTTTAAATTATTGCCAATACAACCATGTTGCATTTTTCGCAATAAAAACATTGCAATAGTTTCTGAATTTACAGTAATTGAGTTAGTATTATTACCAACATAAGTATTGGGGTTGTCTACGCTGTTATGAAAATGATTTTAAGAACCATCAAAAGAGAACAAAACCATCCGATTTTGTAATTGAATATTCCAAAATCATTGTCATACATATACGTGCACTTGCACAAGGTCAATTTCTATCTCTAGCAGTTTAAAGTTTATATAGTGAAGATGATAATGTATAACAGGTTTAAATAAATGAAACATAGCATTATTTTGTTAGTCTTCTTAGAGACAGATTGATCAGTAAAACAAGTAATTATTTTTTTATTTTTTTTATTTTTAGGTTGTTATAATGATGATGTTTTCATGGTGTTGGGAGTAAGACTTGGATGTCTGATATTGTTAACATGTTGGTAGGTAATCAAGCATCTTTTTAGTACTTGAGTTTATAATTCAGAATACCAAATATTTTTTCCATGATTTTTGTTGAGCCTTCGACTTTTGTTGAAAAAGCAAGACATAGCGATCCTACATTCCGTCGGCGGCGGTGTCCACAAATATTCACTCTGTGGTTAAAATTTTTCAAATTTAAATAACTTTCTTAAACTATCCTGGATTTCTACCAAACTAGGACAGAAGCTTGTTTATGATCATAAGATAGTATCCAGAAGTAAATTTTGTAAAAAAAAAATTCCATTTTTTCAGTAATTTACCTCTAAATGGACTTAGTTTTTCTGCCAGGAAACAATATTACATTCACTCTGTGGTTAAAGTTTTTAAAATTTTAATAACTTTCTTAAACTATCCTGGATTTGTACCAAACTTGGACAGAAGCTTGTTTATGATCAAAAGCTAGTATCTAGAAGGAAATTTTGTTCCTGTTTTTCCGTATTTTACTTATAAATGGACAAGTTTTTCTTCCAGTTAACATTACATACAGTCTGCAGTTAAAGTTTTTAAAACATTTATTAGATTCATAAACTATCCTGGATTTTTACTTAACTTGGACAGAAGCTTCTTACAATCAAAAGAAAGTATCGAGAGGAATATTTTAATTTTTTTTTTCCTCATTTTTGTTGAGCCTGCGATTAATAGCAAAAATAAACGAGACACTGGGTTCCGCGGAACCCTTACGAATTTTTTGTTATCCTAGTGCAATTTTAAATTTAAGTACATGTGTAATAATTTTTTTTTAGGAAAGTTCAGTATAACTGACTGCTTTTATATTCCAGGTTAGCATCAGGTTTCCATTGGATTACTTGCTGGGATAAAGCTGTTATAAGGTGAGAACTTATTCATCAACATACAACTTTAATGTGTTTATGTTATAGTGTGATGAATGTCACTAAATAGATTTTAATATATATATTTTTTTTTAATTTACAATAAAAAAAAATCAGTATTCAATCTTTTCATTTTAAAATAATGTACCCTTTAAAGCAGATACTAGATCTGAAGAAGATATATGAAGGGGAGATAACAATAAAATCGGATATTTTTGATACTATATATTTTTGAGTAATCAATATAAGTAATAAACAAATTGTTTAACATACACTGATGTCTGTTTCTACATTCCCGTTAGATTATTTTAAAATTAAGAATCAACAATTGAAATTTAACTTTGTTTCTTTTTCAGTCGAAAGAGTTGCTGTTGTTGCCTTCCTTGTATTGTAAAATCCTCAGACTACAATCCTGCAAACCATTGGATGAACTTTTGCTATCTTTTGTAAAAAAAATCAGCAGATATTTGTCTTATAAGCAGAATGAATTATAAATGCAATTAATTTTTAATGCTTTATTATTCAAATTATAATATTTCATTATTTTTTCTTGCATTCAGTTATTGTTTTGTGATTGAAGAAATATAAAAAAAAACTGTGAAATTATTGTTATTTGAGAGGTCCCAAAGGTATGATGTATGGTTTCACAAGATACCCATAAGACTTGCTTCAGTTTACATATATTTTTTAAGTTATGTACACTGGTTAAGAATTATAAGTCCTTTGTGAAATGATTTTTTCTGGTTAGAAACCTATTAAGTAGGACTTTGATGGCCAAACACTAAAAGGGAATAAAACAAATCCCCTATTAAACAATTTAAGTACTGAGTTTTTGGTGCAATATGAACTAGAAATAAAAATGTTTAGTTAGATGGTTTGTTTTGACTCTGCATTCTTTACATTCATACAAATTAATGGCTGTCAGTTTTATTTATTGGTTTTGTTTATATATTATAAATGCATTATTCAGCATCTGAGACCACTCAAGTGAAAATAATTACATAGTTTTTGCAGTTTGTCATATTTTCTCATTTTTGTGTGATTGATTTCTATATTTTTTCTCATTTATGATTATTTATATTTTAATGTTTGATTTTTGAGACTTGTACTCAGCTTCTAAACAATTACCTCCCCCCTCCACATGTATAACCAGGATCCTGTAAAAGAAGTTTTGATTTTGCAGGATGGATGGATAATTAAAAATGCAAGATTTTTTTAATGTGCTAGTTCATAATGTAAAAGTCTGCACAAGACATCTAACCCTACCTGAACACATTATTCTGACTTCCAGCTGACCAGTCTTAATGCTCCTACTCCTAATTGCTGAATGCTTAGCAGGGGAGCATCAAATACCAATTTTCAATTCTTTGATATGACCCAGGGCAGGACCAAATCCCATGCCCATCTGCACTCATGTTGAGCATAAAAAGGTTATGTTGTCTCCTCTTTGGTCGGGTTGTTGTCTCTTTGACATATTCCCCATTTCCATTCTCAATTTTATTAAAGAAGATTTGTCTGTCTGTCCATCATCATCTCTCATCCACAGCTTATAAACTATAGGAAGGTTTTCATTTAAACTTTCAGATTATCTTCTGTATCTAATGGCTGTGTGTATTTTATTTTATTATAATGAAATTTTGGGGTTCTCAATTGTAATGAATGGACCTAAGTATTTGAAAAAAAAAGGGAAATAAGCTTCTCATACCACCATTTTATCATGTGAAGGATAGGTTGGTTCAAATATATTTGTTTTTAATCATGTTTTTAGTAGTTGGATCTCATTAGGACAAAATTTTAATGACTTAAATTCAAAATAAATTTGGGGTTCACACTGATATATATTACCACTGTAGCTTTAATGTAAATTTTATAAGGCTTTGCTATAACAAGATTTGTGTTTTATCTTGTTTTATCTGATTTTAGTGGTTTTTATGTGATTTTATTTGTTTTTACTGTCAAATCTTGTTATACCAAGCCTTAGTATGATTGAGTTTATATATTTTGATTATACATGCAATTCAAAATATAAATTTACATAATGAGATCAGACATTTATTATGCTTTTAACTCTTCTTAGTGGATAAAATAGAAAAATGAATGAACATAAATATTGAAGTGGTCGTTGAAGATTGACCAAATTACAAGATTTATAAATGCAGAATCTTGCTCCAACTAAATCTATGTTCTTATCAGCTGAACCAACCTATCCTTCAATATGAGTAATTAAATTTTATAAATGGAAAAGTCCATTCTTCGATTTGGGAACCTTTGGATGTGAAAAAAATATACACAATGCCAACAGATACTGAAGATTATTTGAAAGTTTAGGCAAAAACAATTCAATCCTTTAATTGTGATTGGAAGTTGTAGACGGATGAGCAAACAGATGATATACTTGCTTACTATGGTACATTTCCTAAAGGATAAATATGGACTATGGGTATGGGTTTTGCTCATGGTTGAAGGCTGTAGGTGACTGATAGTTGTTAAATTCTATGTCATTTGGTCTCTGGTGGAGAGTTGTCTCGTTGGCAATCATATCTCCTCTTTTTATTTTATATGAAATAATTACTTATTACTTCCTGGGCAAAAAGTTCTGGTTCCAAGAAAATAATAAAAAAAAATACTTATATCATACATGTATTGTTAAATAACTATCCTACTTTGATATAAAGAATTGACTTTGGTTAGAAATTGGGAGGAATTATAAAGAAACTTTATATACAATATAAGAGCTTGGGGTTATAAATTAATGTTTAATGAAATGCAGTTAACTATTTCCTTGGTGATCTAATAATTTTTGCACAGATCATGATATTAGTTTATTTAAATAACCCAGTAAATAAATTGAGTACACCTCATTTATAAATGAATTTGATTCATGTATTTTTATGCATTTTTTATCTTAGTATTTACCATTGTATTCCTTGTTATATTTGTAAATGCCTCTTCGTATGTGAAAAACTGAGGATTCATATATTTTATGGAATTATATAAATTTATTTTAAGTTTGGTATTTAAAAGTATTGGAAAGCACCAAGTTTAATATTGAGCAAAAAAAATATTCCTTTAAGACCTAAGGATATTAAAATTTAAGACATGTATCTCAGAACAGAATTGATTTTCTAAATTCTATTTAAACAGCTAGTCTGGGAACTGGTATCAAGAAACTAAAAAGAATCCTCAGCTCTGTCAGTTATTTTGTATAATTGTAATATTTAACCAATGATACCTTATCCATGATGCAGATCCTTTTCCTCCTTTTACTTATAAAGGGACTAAAAACTTTATTATTACAATTTCTTTGTTATTTGTACACACTTGATGGAGCAGAATGGGTCTGGTTTCATTTGGGTATTTTATATCATGATGCATGATAATGATATAAATAAATAGGTAAATAAAAATTTAATTGAGAAAACCTATCTTATATTTTATTTTAGTCTGAATGACAAATAAAGGGAGAAGAGGGTTCTGTGGTCAAGGGTAACACACAGCTGATTTATTGTATGGTATGGACGAAGTTGAAAAAGCGAGACTTGGGCATGCTTTTTCCATAAGCAGCAGCTTCAACAATGTATTTGATTGTGATAAGTTCAAGTTAAAGAAAACATCTAGTGGTGGGTCAATGATATTTGGTATGCAGTTATATAAGCATTGAAACATCTTATTTCTAAGGAGATTATTTTGCTTCTCTCCCACAGTAATAGTCGACTTAAAACTTTTAATTAGTTTTACATGTATAAGTTTGTGATTATGTCAATTGAAAGGGAACTATATAAGTGGTATGTCAATGATACTTGGTATACAGATGTATAAGCATTGACAAATCTCAGTTCCATAGAGATTGTTCAGCTCCAGTCTCAGTCATGATTTATTGACTGAATGTTTTGCATTATTTACATGTGATTTGTGATTAGATCAGTTTAAGATGGAGTGACTTATATCTGATATTTGGTATGCAGTTGTATTGGCATTTGCAAGTCTCATTTTCATAGATATTATTTGGTCCCACTTCCTTATCATGGTTCATGGACTTTGAAACTTTCACAGTTTAACAAGGAACCAATTGATAAGTCAATGGTGTTGGGTATGCAGTTTCATAAGCATTAGCATTTCCATGGTGTTTTTATTTTGCCCTGAACCGTCAGTCATGGTTCATTGCATAGATAAGTTTAAATATTGCAATTTAATTTCAACATTTGCATTATACAACCAAAAAACGCAAGACATATCTCTGTGTCGTCAGTTTATATTTCCATCTCTTGGTATCTTTCAACATGTTTTGAGTTTTAAATGTCACAGAAACTTCTTTGCTAGTTTAAACAAGACTTGAAACAAATGATACTTAGGAATTACATGACAGAAAGGTTCATTGGACTTGCTGATTACCTGATTGGCTGCCAAGTCTTTAAATAGATCTAGAATTCTAAAATGATCTAGTTTATATAAAGGCTCATCAGATACAAAACACAGGGATACAGATCTAGAAGTGGATGCTCCTGATATAAAACTTCATAATCCAGACTGAAGAAGAATGAGTTAATCCATATTTTGTATCGTTTGCCTAATGGTCTGGTTTAATCTGGCATATGAACATTATCTTGATTCCATTTTTAAGGGTATGTGTACATTATTTGTTTTCAAATTAATTTGACAGTTTTTATGTGTAATAAGGACAATTAATTCTCTTATGGTTATTGCCTGTGGTCTATTTCTCACATAAAGAGATATATTTTGTATCACATTGCATGGATTGGGATAAGAAAAAGGTTAACAAAAAATTTGTTAATTTGAGTGGCTTATCCTGCACCATTTGGTCATCATTTAGGTTCCATGATTTGGTCTGTTCTCGGTCAGATTCTCTAGGTCTACAATGTATGGTGTACAGAATGATTGTAATGTGAATAAATTGTCTGATGAGATACATCTGACCTTTTTTTGAAGTGTGGTCAACATTAAGTTTTTATAGACTGCAAAACTTTTGCCATATTATAATGGTGTGGATATGTCGTCATTGTGGTCTGTAGACATATGTTTTCCAGACAATAACTGGAGTACTGTATAAGTGTATAGATCTCAAAGAAATAAAACCACAAGGTCCCATACCATAAAAGGAAGGTATGAATTGAATTTGGGGTTATTGCCCTAACAGTTTAGGAATAAAGGTTAAAAAAAAAGATTTTCTGGGGTTTCCAGACCATAACTTGAGAATAAATCCATGGATTTCTATGAAACTATTATACAAGATTTCAAACCAAAAAGGGAAAGTCGGAATTGATTTTGGTGATTATGGCCCAAACTGTTTATGAATTAGGAACCAAACAAACACCAATACTATGTATACATTATTTGTTTCTTGACCAATTTCAATTTCGATGAGAATCATGTATTCTTTGGGTTCTTTAATATGCTGAATCTGTTACCATGTTTGTGTATTTCTGTTTTCGAATTGGTTCACATGAATTCAGGTCCAAAGGGTCCAAAATTAATCTTAAGTTTGATTTAAACCCAAAATTGAATTCTTTGGGTTTTTTTATATAATCAAACTGTGTATTTAGATATTGGGCCCATTATCAAATTGGTTCACATTGAGGTCCAAATGGTCCAAAATTAAACTTTGTTTGATTTAAACCAAAATTTTAATTCTTGTGGTTCTTTGATATGCTGAATCTACTGGTAACTGTGATCTGTATTTAGATTTTGGATTTTTAGCCCTGTTAACAAACTAGTTCAAATTGAGGTCCAAAGGGTCCAAAATCAAAAAATTAAAAATTGAATTTTTTGAGTTCTTTGAAATGCTGATTCTAACTTATTTTAGATTTTGGATATTAGGGTATAGGTAAATGTATTTTTGAATTCTTAGACCACATTCATTTGGAGTCCGAAACCTATGCTGTGTCAAATATTTTATCACAATCCAAATTGAGAGCTGTATCAAGCTTGAATATTGTGTTCATACTAGCCCCAATTGTTCATGGTTCAACCTCTGTGGTTGTAACAAACTGTGCCCTGCAGTGCATTTTATTATGATTAGGTCAGAACTATAGTGAGTGTATAAAATGATTGTAAGGTGTAGTATGGTTTATATTTGCATCTGACAGAGTTTATCTGAAATTGACCTTATATTCATGGGTCAATGATAATGTAAATGTTCTGTTATACCTAGATTAAAACCTGCATTTTTGGTCTTTCAACATAGAATTCAATTTTCATCAGTTTCCAGCCTGTCTGTTTAGTACAAAGCAGGGTTAATATTCATATAAGATTCACATGTTCTCATTCTTAATATGCATATTAATTTGCAGTTGAACTTAAGCAGCCAATGCCCATCCATCATCAGTTACACGGGCAAGACATTTCCCTGTGAGCATTCCTGATCATTCCTGACCAAGTCATAAAGCCATTTGGGTGTAGCATTCTAATGTTTTCATTGGATATGACGATCACGTGTTTCAAATGTTATTTTACGTATCTGACGCCTTTTTTCTATTTTTACGTATATTGACGCTGTGTTTCTATTTAGGCAGTAACCATTTTCGGGAGGGGGGTGGGGGCTATTGATTTTTTTTGGAAAAAAAAGTTTGTTTCCAGTTTTTGGAGAAAAAAATAATTTGTTTATGACCCTGAGAAAAAAAAATTTTTGTTTCACCCTCAGCTGCCACTATATGTAATGCTAAAATTGAAAGAAAAAAATTGTTTTCCACTTGTCGCCAAAAAAATAGATTGTTTTTCGCCAAAGTTTGTCCGGAAAAAAAATACATAGCCCCCCCCCCCTTAAAATTGAAAGAAAAAAAAATTGTTTTCGACTTGTCGCCAAAAAAATAGATTGTTTTTCGCCAAAGTTTGTCCGGAAAAAAAATCCATAGCCAACCCCCCCTAAAATTGAAAGAAAAAAAATTGTTTTAGACTTGTCGCCCAAAAAATAGATTGTTTTTCGCCAAAGTTTGTCCGGAAAAAAAATCCATAGCCCCCCCCCCCCCCCCCCCCCCCCCCTCCTAAAATTGAAAGAAAAAAAAATTGTTTTCGACTTGTCGCCAAAAAAATAGATTGTTTTTTGCCAAAGTTTGTCCGGAAAAAAAATCCATAGCCAACCCCCCCTAAAATTGAAAGAAAAAAAATTGTTTTTGACTTGTCGCCCAAAAAATTGATTGTTTTTCGCCAAAGTTTGTCCGGGAAAAAAATCCATAGCCCCGCATAGCGGATTATTTTAAAGTGTGCACCACATTTTTTATGTTATATCGAATAGACAGAAAAAATTTTACAGTCATTTCCTATAATTTCATTCTAAATTCCATTTTAAACCAGAGTAAACCATAAAAACACGTTGATGACGTCAGGGTCACATGACAAAATTATGTCTATGAGCTGATAAACATAACAACGTCAGCCAATCAGAAGAAGTGTTACAACAAAAATTAAATTATATAACCCTAAATCCCCACTGTCCTTCAAAACAATAAACATACAACTTGAATATTTTATCTTGTATGTATATATATATACAAGTCTAAATTGAAAACAACGTTCAAACCTATGATTGCGTTGGATAAAAACCGCAATTTGTATACGTGTGCATGCAAAACAAATTTCTTGTTAGAGGGGTCTAAATACAGCACAAATAACATTTTCCAAAACATCAAAAAAGTGAAAAAGTATATTTTAAGAAAACGCATTTGACTAACAGGTCGAACAACAAATGTTCTTAAACCCTGCTGACTGCCATTGGCGATTGCCAAATAAACGGATCACCCGGTGTAATAAATGGATCTTAATTATAAATTTAATACCAAACAGAAAACAATAAACTTGCGGAAAAGATGGTATACCGCAAACAAAAGGTGCAAAGAATTTTTGTACACCATATCCGGATTTCGACAATTAATGTCTCTTCAGTGATGTTAGGATATATATATTTATTTACTTTCCATATCTGATCCTAATAACGTGGCGCATTCTTTTCTGATCAGTTTTTTTTTATGTTTTGACAAAGTGCTGATGTATTTTAACTAGGAGTTGTAAGCAATATAAAAAATTAATGCTTTCGTCTTACAAAATATGTCACGTCACTCGCACTGATGTCTCTTCAGTCTTCTAACTTATCAAATAACACTAAAGCTTTGAAATATAATGAATAAAAGGAGATATGGCCGTATACTTTACAAGACAACAACCCGATGACAAAAATATCCGAAAAAGAAATTTATAAGCCTAAATAGGAATTATTTCCAATGGAAGAACTATTACTGTAATAGTATAATAAAAGTTTATATTTAATTCAACAGGAATTTATTAACGGCAAAATGCCCATACAACCTAAATGAAAAATATGTGTATAAAGACCAACATACAGGTTTCAGTCTATGGAAGAAGCGAATCGATAAAAACGTTTCTTATAATAAATAGCGACATTGTCTTATATCAACGAGTTGCATTGTGGGAAATTTCAGACGAATGTTAACATTTGTATGAAAAACTGAAGATTTCTCGGTATAAAGTAATGAATATTTTCTTAAAACAGGTCGACATTTAACACAAAGTTATTGTGAAACTGCCTATTCTAGAAGTGGCGTGAATCAGATGTGGATACTAAAAAATTCCAAAGATCTTTTAGAGTACATACAATCTAAGACTCTCTCATCTTACAATAGTATTAAAACATTTGACTTTTCTACACTTTACACAAGTATTCCCCATTCCAAACTAAAAGACAAATTGAAAGAGTTGGTATTACTTTGTTTCATTAAAAAGAATGGCGAACGTAGATACAAGTATCTTGTCTTGGGGAGGGATAAATCCTACTTTGTAAAGAATCACTAGTTACTCTGATTCAAACAAAAAATTCTCTGAAACTGACATTATCAAGATGCTTGATTTCTTGATTGACAACATATTTGTTACGTTTGGAGGACGTGTTTTTCAACAGACTGTCGGAATTCCAATGGGAACCAATTGTGCCCCTCTTCTTGCCGACTTGTTTCTTTATTATTATGAGGCTGACTTCATACAGGAACTTCTTAGGAAGAAAGATAAGAAGTTAGCAATATCCTTTAACTCTACGTTCCGCTATATAAATGATGTTCTCTCACTAAATAATACAAAATTTGGTGACTATGTTGAACGAATCTATCCCATCGAACTAGAGATAAAGGATACTACAGATACAGTTAAGTCTGCCTCATATCTTGACTTACATCTAGAAATTGACAATGAGGGTCGGTTGAAAACAAAACTTTACGACAAAAGAGATGATTTCAGCGCAAGTTCCCAATTGTGAACTTTCCATTTCTATGTAGCAACATTCCAGCAGCGCCTGCCGATGATACGGAGTATATATCTCCCAATTGATACGATATTCCCGGGCTTGTATTTCCTATCATGAGTTCCTTGATAGAGGATTGCTGCTCACAAGGAAGCTATTAAGCCAAGAGTTCCAAATGGTGAAGTTGGAATCTTGAAATTTTACGGACGCCATCACGAGTTGGTTGACCGTTATGGAATAACCGTTTCACCGATGATATCGGATATGTTCCTTATGTCGTAACTACAATACCCTTCCCTTTTCACGAATGTGACTTACCGAATTATACTATTTACCGGATTTGTAATAACATAAGCAACACGACGGGTGCCACATGTGGAGCAGGATCTGCTTACCCTTCCGGAGCACCTGAGATCACCCCCAGTTTTTGGTGGGGTTCGTGTTGCTTAGTCTTAAGTTTTCTATGTTGTGTCATCTGTACTATTATTTGTCTGTTTGTCTTTTTATTTTTGGCCATGGCGTTGTCAGTTTGTTTTTGATCTATGAGTTTGACTGTCCCTCTGGTATCTTTCGTCCCTCTTTTAACACGACATACGTCTGCTGTATAATTTCCATGAATTGTGTAATATAATAACAAGCAAGGTGTATTAATACGAGAAAATTGAATTGTTGATTAAATGAAACATGAGCACAATTGAAATTTAAAAAAACAACGGCAGATCTATAAAATACGCAAAAAGATTTCACAAAGATCAGTGTAAAGTACTGATGTATTATCATGTATAGATACTGTAGACTCGAACAACCCAATGAAAAGCTTGAAAGAAAATTTCCGTCACTTTCAAAAAGATAAAAATAAAAAGACCCCGGTTTTTTGTTATTGCCTTTTTGTGGAAGATACTACAATGATAAAACAAGCTTTTCCAGAAAGCTTACACTTTTCCCGTTCGGAGGTGTGTAATGATTCTAAATATTGATTGGTTTGTCTTTGTGCCAACAGCCAATCAAAACTCAGGTTACATTTGCGACTTATTTATGGGTGTGTTATTGATCTTCGCTTCGATTGGTCAATTCGTTCCATGTCAGCCGAGGAGATTACTGAAGAAAAATGGTAGGTTATGTTTTTGTCAGTTATTTTCCCAATCTACAGAATGTCATAAAAATCAACCTGAATTTTCTGTTAAAGTAATGTTTTATTTTTCAGACGTCATACACAGATAAAGGTCCAAAGGTAAGTAAAAAAACATACTTGTAAAGTTTTGTTGTTTTTATCAAGGTCACACAGCACTGCTTAATTTACATCATTAATAATTGTTGTTTATAACCCTAAATTCAATACAAAAAAACATTTTTGCTGCGCAATTAACGTATGTATGATAGTTGACCATTAATCTACAGACTTTGTATTTGAATATCAAAATTATGCAATAGTTTGGAACAAATGAATTATAATGGAACTTCAGCATGTTCAGTTGACAGCAGTAGGGACAAATTATCCAAATAGGATTATCATAAACATGATAAATGTAATCTAGGAATAGTGCTGAAAAGGTCATGAAAGTTGCTTTAGAAATTTATTATCTCCCTAATTTACAAAGGTACATGGTACCTGAGACCTATGATACATTGTATTATCATGATTATACATGTAAATTTCTGGGGCCTCAGTCGTGTGGTTCATAGCCAAGTGTACAAATTATTTAGTACAGAAAAAGCACTTAACAAAGTATAATGCCAGTATAAAAGACTACTAAAACTGGTGAATAAATAAAGCAATGGTTATTTAGGATGCATATTTTCTTTTTTTCGCAGGAAATTATAAGTAGTTATTTGAAAAAAAGGTTTTTTACACAATGTTACTGTCGTAATAACTGTGATTTAAAGGAAGGATCATTCCTCTAAAGTATGAGGGTTCAATAACGATAGTAGACATGGTAGATATAAAAATAAAAAGATGTAGTATGACTGCCAATGAGACAACTCTTCACCAGAGACCAAATGACATAGATGTTAACAACTACAGGTCACCATACAGCCTTCAACAATGAGCAAAACCCATACTGCATAGAAAGCTATAAATGACCTGACAAATGTAAAAACAACTCGAACAAGTCAACTAACGCCTAATTTAGGGGGGGGGGGGGGGGGGGGGGGGGGGGGTAGGAGGGTTTCTGATCCCGAAATCCTGGGCTTAAAAACATGGAATCCCGAGGTCCTGAATTTAAAAAAATTTAAATCCCGACATCCCGAAATTCGAAAAAAGAATTCCCGGATCCCGAAAGGATCAATCCTGAAATCCCGAGCTCAAAAACACCCGATCCCGGAGTCCCGATAAAGGTCCTACCCCCCTATTTATGTACAAAATAATGAGCGTAAACAAATATGAAATACAGCATCAAAAGACAATCACTGAATTACAGGCTCCTGACTTGGCATAGGCATATACAGAATGGGGCTAGTTAGCCTTGTTTTTTGTGCTACACCCTCCCCCTAGCCTGGGACAGTTGTGTAACAGTACGACATAAGAGCAATTTATATTGGCTTCACTCATCAGATCAATACAAAGCACATAAAAATCCTATCACACACACAAAAGACACAAAGTACAGATCTGAGAGTATTGGCAGTTAACTGAAAGCTAGTTCAAAGCCAATAACAACTAATGAATAATCATGTGTCTACATGGTCCAAGACTAGTATATCAATCAGTTCACATTCAACATCTAATGGATTTAGTGTAAAGACTTCGTAGACAGAGAACAAAACATGACCTTGTGCATGTTGTGCAATGGTATTAAATAATTTGTGGTAACGAAATCCTTGACCTATCACTGTAACATCACCGTCCAATACAGTGTTCGGAATCAGTGCCGATTAAGTATTTTTAAAACAGTTATGCCCTTGGAAAAATTAATTATATTGGAAAAAGCATTGTATTTGCTCTCAAGCATTTGTCAAGCCTTCATTTCTCTAAGATGTTTGTAAAAAGAACAAAACAAAAGAAATTTTTCTTAGTTATTGTCCTTGGATAGATAAAATATGTGCATCGCAGGGTACATTAGAACTCTCTTCTTTTATATTTTTATTAAATTTGATTTAAAGATTTAAAATAACTTCCTTTGGGTATTAATTTTGACAGGATATTTAGAAAATTCTTGATGATCATGATGATTATTTAACGAAAAAAAATAATATCAAGATAATTGTAAGTGTCATTGAATTTATTAATTAAATGCAATTTAGACGGGTCTTTACTGAGTTTGGCTATAATCTGTGATTAATAACAGTACAAGAACAAGTCTACTATTAAAGGGATGTAATTGGGGCCCATAGGAATATAAAATGCAACCTGAAAAACTTTATTGCTGAAACATAGGTAAATGTTGTCAAGGAGAAAATTTACAGCTTCAATTATCTGATCACACCACCAATAAGAACCCATATACCATGTATACAGGAATATTCACAAAAGTGAAGCTAAATCAGTTCAAAGGTGCAACATAAGCAGGAGGTACAAATCCTGTTGCTAACCAAAATGTGATAGATTCCGGTATAAATTTAAATGCATTTTAGTTTGCTATAAAAAAACAGTCTGAGTTCTTTAATCAGTGTCACTGTGAAAACAGTTTGGAAGATTAAACGCATCTTGAATACTATCTATTTCCACATAAAAGACTGCTTAAATTACCACAGGGTGTAATAGAGAAGTACTTTCAAGAAGCTCATAGATTCAAATTATGAAAAGTGACCTTTCCAATCAGTTTCCAAATATAGGTGATACTTTTATAATATTAAATCATACCTACATTAAGGTCAGAAACTACATTGAAATGCAGTTGTATGGTGTGTATACACATAATATGTTATTATACAATGTATTAAAATTTACAACTTAGTAGTTAGTGATATAACAAGTAACCAAATTTGACAAAAATCAAAACGGTTGTTACAATGTTATGATTTTTTTTTATCTTTGATGTTGTTTTGTCTCATTAGCCCCCCTCCCCCTATGTTTTATTTATGTTTCATGGTATAGTATCAATAATATTACATTGCTACACCATCCATACATGCCATATGTACTATACACTACAATTCTACACATTTGAGGTTACCATGACATACTTGTTTGATAAAGAGCAGCAAAACAGCTGTTTGTCATGAAGGTTATAGGTACATAAATGAGCCATAAAGGTCAATATAAATAAATATCGGTACAAATTTTTCCTTTTTTTTGTAAAAGGTAATCTGGTATAACACAGTGGGAATGTTTACACAATAATATGACATTAACAGCTCACTGAGATTTTATTTTGCACCAAAACAGCAATGCTATCTATAGCAATATTACATTCAACAGCTGCAACTGTCATAACTTTTGTAACACTTTACTTTCCTGTTGGGATATTGTTCCTTACTATGTCAGCCATTCAGTTGAGGTTTGTTCCAAACTGATGCAATGTTAATTTTGGAATTCAAATACAAATATTGTAGCTTAATGATCTACTATTATAAATTCATGAATTGTGTAGGAAAAAAAAGTTGTATACAACAGATTTATAAACATGTTCAGACGTCATCAAATCTGTTGCTTAAATTTTAAAGCTGTCTCAAGGGAAAACAGAGATGGCTTGCTTATGGAAGCATGTTAAATCTATAATCTCCATTGAAATAAGATGTGCCAATTAAGGCCACATCAACTGCATACCAAATATCCTAGACCTAGCGTAAGTGGCTCCCTTTAAACTCACCTAATCACAAACTTTAACAAATTGTTGATACCGCAGCTCCACACAGCACACCTATGTCTCTTTTTTTTACTTTGTCAAGTGAGGCTAAAACTGAGATAAAGTTAAGTAGATATAAGAAGACGTGGTATGAGTGCCAATGAGACAACTCTCCATCCAAGTCACAATTTATAAAAGTAAACCATTATAGGTCAAAGTTCGGTCTTCAACACGGAGCCTTGGCTCAGCAAGCTATAAAGGGCCCCAAAAATTACTAGTGTAAAACCATTCAAACGGGAAAACCAACGGTCTGGTCTAATCTATATAAAAAAGTATCTATATTCTATATAACTTTATTACGATTTTTTCAGTGTAGTATTGAAATATGAAAATGTGTGTTCTTACCCCAAAAAGACCAAAATGATACCAAAATAAGTAAAGTAAGACATGAACATGATGATGGTATATTTTTCTTTGTATATTTTGATAATGCAAAATGGACTTTGTGTCAAAATATTAAAGAAAAATCAACAAGAGAACTTTCCTGTATCGTATGACCTTGATCACACTGTTTTTCATATTTCAAATAAGGACTAGAAATGTGCCATCTTTAGAGAAAATTAAAAAAATGTTTAACTTCCTATTTTGATAATTAGCACTTTCACTTTTGCAACATCCAAGTAGTTTCATTTTGCATAAATTATTGCCATGATTTCACAGGATACAAGCTCTAACACTGTGTCTCAGATTTCTTGTAACATATCCTCTATTATATTTAATTACAGAATATTGCATCAATCTGTTTTAGTTGTAATGACCTTAAAAGTCACAAATATTCAAATTGATTTTTAACTGGACCTTTAATAAAACATCTGAGACACAGTTTCTCAACATATTTTATGATCGTTTTGATAAAATAAACATACAATTACATGTTGCAACGATTCCCTAGTATCACTGAGTCTTTTGCATGTGAAGTAAAATGCTTATTTGAAACAGGAAGGTATAAAATGTGGTTGCTTTATCAATTCTGCTTTAAGTCAGTGATTCTTGGCTATCTCATCTATATTATGGTACTTCATTTGTGTTTATATCTTTTAAAATGACAAATGTATAGCTATTTAAATGCAAACACCCCAAATTTACCTGAATTACTCAATAAGACTGTTGTGTTGTATGACTATAGTGTTTTCTTACATGTACAATATGGTGACATGATAAACATTGATAAAGTTATATGTCAATGATTTTTGTAACTAGCTTGTTTACAATCTTAATGAAAGTACAAATTTTGAACATTTTAATCATCATGACATCTTTCACATTTGGTCTACTTATCATTGATGTTTGTCTTTAGTTATAGTTTTTAGCTCACCAGGTCCAAAGTGCCATGTGAGCTTATGCCATCACTTGGCGTCCTCCGTCCTCGTCCTCGTCGTAAACTATTACAAGAATCTTCTCCTCTGAAACTACTGGGCAAAATACCTTCAAACTTTAACTGAATGTTCCTTAGGGTATCTAGTTTATAAATTTTATCTGAAGTTTTGATCTATCAACAAACATGGCCGCTGTTGCTAAAATTAGAACATAGTGGTCAAATGCAGTTTTTGGCTTATATCTCAAAAACTAAAGCAGTTAGAGCAAACATGAAATGAGTTAAAGGGATGAATAGGTCAAGATCTTTCTGCTATGAAATGTTCAGGCCGATTGGAGAACCCATTGTTGGGTTACTGTCAGAAGTAGTTTATTTTTAGGAAATTTTACAGTTTTTATACGACCGCAAAAATTAAAATTTTTTGGTCATATATTGGCATTGGTATCACGTTGTCGTCGGCGTTGTCGTCGTCAGCGTCGTCCGAAGACAGATGGTTTCCAGATAATAACTTTAGTATAAGTAAATAGAAATCAATAAAATTTTAACACAAGGTTTATAACCACTAAAGGAAGGTTGGGATTGATTTTTGGGGTTATGGTACCAACTGTTTAGGAATTAGGGGCCAAAAAAGGGGCCCAAATAAGCATTTTTGTAGTTTCCAGACAATAACTTGTGTTAAAGTGTATGGATCTCTCTGAAACTATACCACAAGTTTCCATATTACAAAGGGATGGTAAGGATTGACTTTGGGGGGTTATGGCTCAAACCAATTAGTAATTAGGGGCAAAAGAGGGGAAAAACAAGGGTTTTTCTGGTTAAAGGACAATTGAGACATTTAAAAGCAGTGTAAGGGAGGTAATCCAAATCAATTAAAAGAACACTGTTTGAGTACCTCCCTTACACTGCTTGTAAATTATGTATTAAGAAATGATGATTGTCTTGAGGTGATTAGCTGTCAATTTATTTTTAGCAGTTACTATTAATTAATATTCATTTTAGCCATGACTATGTATGTCATTTTATATTTTGAAACTTTTATGATGTATTTAAATGGGTAGTTATGGTTGCAAGCTCCATTAGAAATTTGAATTGAGATACTGACCATATCTTGAGGGAAACATTTTTTTTTGGGGGTTAATATTCAACAGTATAGTGTATTGCACAAAAGCAAAAAACCGGGGTAAATTTTTTTTTTTTTTGGGGGGGGGGGTCAATTAGCAACAGCATTGTGTATTGCACAAAAGTAAAATATGAATATAAATTCAAATCATATAACCAATTTGAAGTTCTTTGACTACAGTTATTCTGTGTCAGCAACCTATTATGTGTCAAAAATTTAGTTACAATCCAAATTCAGACCTGTATCAAGCGTGAATTTTGTGTCCATTTTGGCCCCAACTTTTCAGGGTTGGACATCTGCGGTCGTATCCAGCTGCGCTCAGCGAGGCAATTTATTGGTTATTATCTTTTAAATTATAGTAGATAGAAAGAAAGTGTAAAATGAGAAAAATGTTCAGCTAAGTAAGATCTACAAAAAGGTCAGCATGATCAAATTATCAATTGACCCCTAAAGGAGTTATTGCCCTTGAAACACAATTTTTTACATTTTTTTGTGCGTCACTTACTTTTTCAAAAATCTTCTCCTCTGAAACTACTTGGCCAAATACTTGCAAACTTTAACTGACTGTTCCTTAGGGTATCTTGTTTATAAATTGTTTCCAAAGTTTTGCTCCATCAACAAACATTGCCACCATTGCTAAAAACACATGAAACAGAAAATAGGGGACAAATGCAGTTTTTGGCTTATATCTCACAAACTAAAGCAGTTAGAGCAAAAGTGACAGGATTATTGAATAGATTATTATAAGATCTATCTGCAACAAAATGTTCAGACCAATTTGCCAGCCTGTTGTTGGGTTATTGTACGAAATAGTTTTTTGGGAGAAATTATAGTTTTGGTTATTGCCATTGAAAGATTATTTTTTTTACAATTTTCTTTTTCTCTGAAATATTTCAAGAGAGATAAATGAACTTATTATGAGATATGGGATCCTTGAGTGAATTGACTCACATTTCTATCCAATAATCTCAAAATGCTAGATACTATCCATGTCCACTCTTGTTTGAAATTATACCTGGACTTTCTATTCAGTATTTAGCTTAGAAATTATATCTAAATATAATGCATTGTAAAACATGGCTGCTATTGCCAAGAAAGAACATAGTAGTAAAATGAAGTTTTCATTTTTTTGTCTCTTAAGCACCAAGGACAAAACTTACAGAATAAATATGATCAACAACTTAAAATCTATCTGCAGTGAGATTGCAGACAAATCATTTTTTTTTATTTTGAAGCAAATATGACCAAAACAAAGAATTTTTAAGCAAACACCGATATACATTAAACATGTTAAAAAGTTCAGGTGAGCGATTCAGGCTCTTGAGAGCTAGCCTCTTGTTTACTTTTTCATATAGTTGTTTTGAGGTCAAATGAAGGTGAGGCTCACAATATTTACAATGATGTTCATGTTTTCTATTTCAGCCAGAATCTGGGAAATTTCTTAGCTTTGCCCATGTAACGTTCTGGGTTGGAAATGCAAAACAGGTTGGTAAACAACTCAATTAAGAAAACAGGAGCTATGTTGGATAGAAATTAACCTTATGTAAATGAATATCAATACATCTGTTATTCAGGTTGAAAAACTCTCTACAGAAAGTCTGTAACTGTTAGAAAATTGGGTTGTATAAGAACTCTACGAAACAGACCAAAATCAGCTGTTATTTGTATTTGAATGTTCTAAAATCAATCAAAGTCTTATACATGTACTTGTATACGTGCACTTGCATAAGGTCAATTTCTATCTGATGTAGCTCACATATTATGTAGTATAATAATCTCTGTGTCAGAGAATTAATTATTATTACATGTATTATGTAGAGATTTTAATTTGACAGGTTAATAAAATTGAGAATGGAAATGGGGAATGTTTTGACAGTATTACATGAATCTGTGATGAAATGATTTGTCCTCAACAAATTCTATGGTATTTAAGGCAAATCATGGTACATATTCATGCAGTATTGATAAATTGTGCATATAATCCTCTTTGCAAGTCCTCGTTTTATTTAGAGTTGCTTCTTTTTGTCGAGCCTTCGACTTTTGTCGAAAAAGCAAGAACTTAGCGATCCTACATTCCGTCCGCGTCGTTGTCGTGGTCGTTGGCGGCGTCCACAAATATTCACTCTGTGGTTAAAGTTTTTGAAATTTTAATAACTTTCTTAAACTATCCTGGATTTGTACCAAACTTGGAAAGAAGCTTGTTTATGATTAAAAGCTAGTATCTAGAAGGAAATTTTGTTAAAATTTTGTTTGATTTTTTCCGTATTTTACTTATAAATGGACTTTGTTTTTCTTCCAGTTAACATTACATACAGTCTGCAGTTTAAGTTTTTAAAACATTTATTAGATTCATGAACTATCCTGGATTTTTACCAAACTTGGACAGAAGCTACTAACAATCAAAAGATAGTATAGAGAGGAATATTTTTATTTATTTTTTTCCTCATTTTTGTTGAGCCTGCGATTAACAGCAAAAGTAGGCGAGACACTGGGTTCCGCGGAACCCTTACGAATTTTTTTAGCTTACTTTGGCCACTAAAACATACAGAAATTCGGGGAATACAAAAAGAACTGCATTTAAATTTTTCATTTTGAATTTTCTTGTATGCCATCGACAGAAGGCTTATATAGGACTTCTTGGTTGCATTCAATATATGTTAAGCTTTATTAAAATTTTCACTAGTGAAACATTGTTAATATTCATGATAATTGAGAAATATTCTTACCAGCAAAGTATCAAAATATATGTTGACACGTATATGGTTCAAGAATGATGATGAATTATGTCCTTTTTTATTTTCAAAAAGTACAAATGTATCATTGTCTCTGTCAGCTCATATCATCTGTAAGAAGTACAGACATCCTTGTCCATGGTAACATTCCTTTTGTTTCTGTCAGCTCATGTCATCTGTAAGAAGTAGGGACATCCTTGTCCATTGTAACATTCCTTTTGTCTCTGTCAGCTCATGTCATCTGTAAGAAGTAGGGACATCCTTGTCCATGGTAACATTCCTTTTGTCTCTGTCAGCTCATGTCATCTGTAAGAAGTGGGGACATCCTTGTCCATGGTAACATTTCTTTTGTCTCTGTCAGCTCATGTCATTTGTAAGAAGTTAAGGGACATCCTTGTCCATGGTAACAGTCCTTTTGTCTCTGTCAGCTCATGTCATCTGTAAGAAGTAGGGACATCCTTGTCCATGGTAACATTCCTTTTGTCTCTGTCAGCTCATATCATCTGTAAGAACATGAAGAAATAGGGACATCCTTGTCCATGGTAACAGTCATTTTGTCTCTGTCAGCTCATGTCATCTGTAAGAAGTAGGGACATCCTTGTCCATGGTAACATTCCTTTTGTCTCTGTCAGCTCATGTCATCTGTAAGAAGTAGGGACTTCATTAGCTCATATCATCTGTAAGAAGTAGGGACATCCTGGTCCATGGTAACAGTCCTTTTGTCTCTGTCAGCTCATGTCATCTGTAAGAAGTAGGGACATCATTGTAAGTAGTAGGGACATCCTTGTCCATGGTAACATTCCTTTTGTCTCTGTCAGCTCATGTCATCTGTAAGAAGTAGGGACATCCTTGTCCATGGTAACATCCCTTTTGTCTCTGTCAGCTCATGTCATCTGTAAGAAGTAGGGACATCCTTGTCCATGGTAACATTCCTTTTGTCTCTGTCAGCTCATATCATCTGTAAGAAGTAGGGACATCCTTGTCCATGGTAACATTCCTTTTGTCTCTGTCAGCTCATGTCATCTGTAAGAAGTAGGGACATCCTTGTAAGTAGTAGGGACATCCTTGTCCATGGTAACATTCCTTTTGTCTCTGTCAGCTCATGTCATCTGTAAGAAGTAGGGACATCCTTGTCCATGCTAACATTCCTTTTGTCTCTGTCAGCTCATGTCATCTGTAAGAAGTAGGGACATCCTTGTTCGTGGTAACATTCCTTTTGTCTCTGTCAGCTCATGTCATCTGTAAGAAGTAGGGACATCCTTGTCCGTGGTAACATTCCTTTTGTCTCTGTCAGCTCATGTCATCTGTAAGAAGTAGGGACATCCTTGTCCATGGTAACATTCCTTTTGTCTCTGTCAGCTCATGTCATCTGTAAGAAGTAGGGACATCCTTGTCCATGGTAACATTCCTTTTGTCTCTGTCAGCTCATGTCATCTGTAAGAAGTAGGGACATCCTTGTCCATGGTAACATTCCTTTTGTCTCTGTCAGCTCATGTCATCTGAAAGAAGTAGGGACATCCTTGTCCATGGTAACATTCCTTTTGTCTCTGTCAGCTCATATCATCTGTAAGAACATGAAGAAATAGGGACATCCTTGTCCATGGTAACAGTCATTTTGTCTCTGTCAGCTCATGTCATCTGTAAGAAGTAGGGACATCCTTGTCCATGGTAACATTCCTTTTGTCTCTGTCAGCTCATGTCATCTGTAAGAAGTAGGGACATCCTTGTCCATGCTAACATTCCTTTTGTCTCTGTCAGCTCATGTCATCTGTAAGAAGTAGGGACATCCTTGTCCATGGTAACATTCCTTTTGTCTCTGTCAGCTCATGTCATCTGTAAGAAGTAGGGACATCCTTGTCCGTGGTAACATTCCTTTTGTCTCTGTCAGCTCATGTCATCTGTAAGAAGTAGGGACATCCTTGTCCATGGTAACATTCCTTTTGTCTCTGTCAGCTCATGTCATCTGTAAGAAGTAGGGACATCCTTGTCCGTGGTAACATTCCTTTTTGTCTCTGTCAGCTCATGTCATCTGTAAGAAGTAGGGACATCCTTGTCCATGGTAACATTCCTTTTGTCTCTGTCAGCTCATGTCATGGTAACATTCCTTTTCAATACCAACTTATTTTTATATCCTGTCAACTTAATAGAAATGGTTGAAATGAAATTTTAAGGATGATATATCATGTATATATGTAGAAAATGTCCACAAGCATGTAAGTTTTAAATGTTGATTTAACATTTTTAACTGCTCTAGTAACTCCGAAATATACTGTCAGACTATATCGACAATATGTAAGAAATTCAGAAAGGGCATTAATTCTTGGGAATTTTTTTTTTTATGCAGATATACTAAGAAGGGTCTTATTATAATTTTTATATTTGTTTCAGGAACAGAAACATCTGAAATAGTTGTAAGCTTTTATTTCATGGTTGGCACCACTAGAGAAAATACATGTTGTTTTCAATTTGTATAAGAAATGAATGTATCCAATGTAAAGTTTGTGATGAGCTCTTTTACATTGTTTTAGGTGTCAGACCACCAATTCAAAATCCCAATCTATTCAACCAAATTTTTGCAACTTTCACAGCTTTTTAAATATTTTACCTTAAGTTTAACTTCATAGAAACCAGGTATATCCTGAATTGTTCATGCATCACCTTTCTACATGCCAATTTTCAACCTATGTTTAAAGTCTTGTAGCGAGATACTAACGTATGGAAGACAAGTACTGCTAAAAATAACCCTTGGTATTCTGGAAATCTTAAATAAGTATACTATTAATCCTTAATCTTTAATGCAAACTCATGGACAAGTAAATTTTTGCTCAAAATGGTCTACATATATTTCTCCTTCAACAAAAGTTTCATTTCTGCAAATTTGTTTGTTAGTTTAAGTAAACAATGACATCAAAAGCACTATTATTTGTCAGGTGATATATGTTCTAAATTGAAGTGGGTGAATTGGTGGTCTGACACATAAAGACTGGTTACCATGGCTTCTTAATTCTAATCATATTCCTACTTTGTAGGCAGCCTCTTATTACTGTACCCGCATGGGATTTGAACCATTTGCTTACAAAGGGCTGGAGACAGGAAGTCGTGAAATTGCAGCACATGTTGTTAAACAGAATAAAATCATATTTGCCTTCCAGTCCATGCTGAATCCAGATGAACCAAAAGGTATTAAGAAATCTATGTTAAATGTACCAAATCAACTGCATTCAAACATTTCAAAGGATTTATCTTGATTAGCCCTCTTAGAACCCCTTAAATTCTCAAAGTTTGGGAGGTCAAAACATGCCTCAGCAATTTTTTTCTGGTTTATATATGCGAATAATTTTTGAATTAGAGATCATCTTTTTTTTTCTCAAGAACTAAACAAAGAAATCTACTGCACACAGATATTATGTAACTGCACCAGGCCAAAAATTGCTTCCTGGAGGCTTGTAAATAAGTATTTGGAAGATATATATATATATGCATGTAACAAACAAATGAGATTTTCATTGTTTATCAAATCATATATTAATGAACAGTAAAGATAACTATGAAGGACAGACAATTTACCATCTCTATTAGAAGAATGTAGTACAGATAAATTCAAGAAAAGAAGAAAATATGACTATTAATTATACTGTACAAAACATCGGAATGTGTAAAGGATATAACTCTACCTACAAAATAATTTACCTGTTCCAGTTGCATATAAGTGTTACCCCTGTATTTTTTGATTGAATGAGGGGTTACTATTTCTTGGTTTATTTATATGGATTTTAATCTAAATATGTAATAAATGTCATGATCTTTTTCTGAAAATAATTGTTGTACTATTGAATAATATTTTTAAATGTTTGACATTTATTTTTGTGGTTTGCTTGAACCCATGAACATGATGAAAACTACAAACAACAAATATTGGTCATGTTGGTAGGCTCTTTACCATGAAATTGGACAAATAAAATGGAATTCTCTGCAAATAAGTGGATAGCAACATAATCAAAAAGTTCATCAAAAGATTAAGTCCCTCTCTCATGTCTACATTTCCTAATGGACATGGAACCTAAGTATTTCAATAATTGAAGACATCAATCAGTTAGGAATATAAAAAAAAGTTGTAATAAGTTATTTTAATCATTATTATTATTTTTGGGTAACTGGAGAAAGTAAATTTATTTGTACCTAACCAAATGACAGCTCTGAGTCCAATGCATTACCTTTCAAAGTTACATTTTTAACAGTCAGGTCATCAACTTTGCCTGGAAAATTTGTCAAAGTAATTCTATCGTCAATTAAAAGAATCAGTCCTTTAATTTTATTTTATTATACCCCTGCTCAGAAGGATAGGGAGTCTACTGTTTTACCTCTGTCCATCTGTCTTTCCGTGAGTCCATCCTTTGAAATATTTGTAGTATTTTTATACGCCTGTCAAAATTTTTACGTATTATGGTATACAAATGTCTTCTGTCCGTCTGTCTGCCCGGCGTAAACATGTTGCACTGTAACTTGAGAACGACTAACCAAATTTCATGAAACTTAACATAGTTTTTTCTTATGATGGTCAAACGATCTGTATACTTTTTGGTGAAAATAAGATTAAAACTTTTTGAGTTACGGGACTTAGTAACTAAAATAGGTGTGTGTTTTTTTTCACATGTCGCACTGTATCTCAAAAACAATTTATGATTATTGCTTAAAACTTTACACACTTCTTAGTTATATTAATCTTAAGATCTGTATACTTTTTGGTGATGATTCAAAATTTTATTTTTGAGTTATTGAGTATTTTGTAAAAAAAGGGGGAGGGGTTTTTCACATGTCGCGCCGTATCTCAAAAACGATTTATGATTATTGCTTAAAATTTTACACATTTCTTAGTTATATTAATCTAAAGATCTGTATACTTTTTGGTTTTGATTCAAAATTTTATTTTAGAGATATTGGTTTTTTTTTTTAAAAGGGGGGTTTTCACATGTCACATTACAGTTTTCTCAGGAAATATGAATCGGAGCTTGAGTATAAAGCTACATGTATCAGTGTAACCCTTTCCACACCAATCACTTATCAACTTCCTGTTTACCAAATGTCTATAGCAAGGGTATCGTTATTGAGCAGTAGCTTACAGTGAGACTTGTTTTTGGCATAATTTAAAAACAGATAATAAGACCCTTATTGTTGTTCTAAAGAAAATATGATAGATGGTGTCTTTGTTGTTTACCATTGAGTGGAAAGAGGAGCAATGATGATGGGGAGGGGACAGGAGAAGGATTGATTTTTTGAGTTAGCCCACATAAATTATACAGATGTACTGTGAAAGTGTAGAAATTTTAACTGTATTAGTAACAGAGAAATTGTATAAATATTATGGTTCTATTTTTTCCAGAATTTGGTGCCCATCTTGTGAAGCATGGTGATGGTGTGAAGGATGTAGCTTTTGAAGTAGAAGATTTACCTGCTATTTTCAAAGTAAGATATCATAGGAGTACAAATGTATTACTTATTAGTGCCAGTCATTGTAAGAATCAGGCAATTTAGAAGAATTTTAAAACATGGTCGAAAAAAACCCACCAATATAACCATCCTATTTTGAAGTTATCCTCATCCTGAATTAGAAATTGTAGGTCTTTTATTTCTGTGTGTTGTAATTCAAGAAATCTCTAGATAACTTTTGGTTAGAATGATAGCAAATTATGGAGTTAGCTCCCTTTAATTCTTAATTTCTAGTGCATTCCAACCAAATTATAACTTACAATGCCAGAACAGTAAAAGGAAACTGATGTTATAGTTGTGCACCATTTTACATTTTGAAATTAATGTAATTATGAGTAGGTTTTTGTTTGTCGTGTTTTCACCACTGTCTGATTCTTGGGCGGATTGGCACTTTATAAGCTTTGCAAGTTACAGACAATTCATTTTTTTATGGATTCAAACATTTTTGTCAAATAAAGTTGAGTTTGAACTAGGAATGGTTGAAGGTGACTGAAAATCAGAATTAGTTATTCTGTTCAGCTTTCTAATTGGTCCTTTCCTTCGAAAAATTATTTCCCAAGTTGGAAATATAATGAATTTCTGAAACAAGTGCAACTATATGCAACATATGTTTTAGAAATGATCCAGTGGCTGTTATCTTGTTATTGTATATGTATAAAAAGTAATGTGTCATGGGTGCATGTATACATCAATAAAACAACGACACTAATAGTTTTCACCTTTTTAAATATTATAAAAACACAATAGACATGATAGAAAGCCAAACAAACCACACATTAATATCTAATTGTATAAGATTTTATCCAAGTTCTAACATAATGCATTTAAGATTGAGAGTTTTGTTAATATTTAGAAAACCTTAATTTTTTTGTGTTGTAAGGTTGCTGTCTAATTGTAAAAACTCATCAAAGATACCAGGCTTATAATTTGGTATACCAGACATGCATTTCGTCTACATAAGACAATTTATCTCATATCTTTTTTGTTCATGTTCTAATATTTGTCTAAACAGCAAATTTCTACCTGTTTTAACATATAATTTCTGTGACATTACATCATATCATTTGTATTCATTTGTTAACAATTAAGTTTTTCTTATATTGTTTTAGAGAGCTGTAGGCAGAGGTGCTTTAGTTGTGAAGGAGCCATGGGAAGAGAGTGATGAGAATGGCACTGTCAAGTTTGCTCAGGTCCAGACGTATGGAGATACTACCCATACATTGATAGACAAATCAAAGTACAAAGGATTATTCCTACCAGGATATCAACCAACCAAATTTAAAGACCCACTCAGTGATATGCTGTAAGTTCAATTGCACTATAGATAATAAGTTTGTTAACAAATTTTCTTTCAAGTCGTCAATGCTATTTTTACTTGACTGGGAGCTATTTGAAATTAAGGTTAAGTCATGAAACTAAAATTGCTGAGATAAAACCTGGGTTAATATGAATTTATTGTAAATAAAAAAAGCTCTTTAACATGTATAACTTGAAAAGAATTAGTTCCAATATCAATGAAATACCCTCTTGAATGGGTTTTACATATAATGTGTATTTTGTTTGATACTGCTTTGAACCTCAAAGAACTTTAACATCCAAAATCGATATCAATAGCACTCATAAAATGTTTCCTCAACAGAATAATTGTACAGCATTGGAAACCAAAACAGTAACAGAAAACCAGGATCAGGGAATCAGAAATCATAAGAAGAAGAAAAAAACGCAAATCCATGGCCAAAAGAAAAAATATGAACAGTCAAACAGTATGCCCACAAAGCACTACACAATACCCTAAAGATTGAGCAACCCAAACCATAAACATGACAAACAATAGCGTTGAACTCAAGGGTAAAGCAGATCCTGCTCCACTAGTGGCACAAGTGGATACTCTCATTTGGAAAGTTGTAGTTTACAGCATTTTTGTCAGCAAATGTGTTGGAATAATATAGAAAAAAATATATTAATGCATTGTATATATAATGGTTTTAGTTATCCAAAAAAAGACATGAAACTTTAAGGATAAATGTAGAGCACAATGATGCATAAATGTTTAATTTTTACAGACCTACAATTGGTTTAAACTTCATTGATCACATTGTTGGGAACCAGCCAGATGAGGAAATGGTACCAGTATCAGACTGGTATGTGTAAACATTGAATTTGTCAAAGCTAGGTGAAATTGTGCAGAGATTCAAACTTGTAGAAAATATCTTAGAGTCCTGATCATTGATAAGCATATCTTTGAAATTGTTTCTCAAATGTTATCAGTTAGTTTGTAGGAAAATAATGTTAAAGATATCGGTAACACTTGGAAAGAAAAGTACAAGCAGTGGAAACCGATATTTGACGTACCAAACTTATCTACTAAATGTTATACATTATTCGTTGTGTTTTATAATTATGAATAAAGCAAATTAGTTTTTTTCAGTACAATGCAATAACATGCAACCAAATTCTTTTTTTTTTTGGCAACACACTTGACAGACAACTAGTGAATATTTAAAATTTTTAAATCTGACATCTTTACGAAAAATAAAAAAAAACCTAACTGGAACTTTTAACCCTGAACATGCAATGATACTCGTCAAACAAATAAATATTACTTGTATTTTGGTATTATGCTATAGAAAAAAAGGTTACTTTTAAGGATTTTATTGATGCATAATTGATAAACATGGCAGACTTTGTTTCAGGGTTGTGAGTGAAAAGTCCAGTTAACACACACAAAAAAACTGCCGTAAAATAAATTTTCTGACTCATTATTCAATACAATGCTGTAGAAATAATATTTAAATAAAAAAAGATTAACAATGCTTACAGAACTATTTCGCCTGTGTAGCATGTGTAGAAATGCATACTCATAATGTTATGAAACATATTCATACAGGTATAAACTATTTGGTTGCCATGACGCTCACCAAAGAAATAAGACTTGCATAACATACAACATTGGAATTTTTTATGTTTGAAATTACTTGTATTGCTGGGTTTTTTGCTGCAAGCTTAATTTTTTTTTAAACTTGAATATATTTATACATATAGCCTAGATACTACACTTTACTGATTTAAAAGAAATGAATTAGCTTGTGAATGTCTGTAAGTTTGACTTCAAAGTGTTAGAACACTTGAAGAACTTATTTTGCAACACCAGTTCCATGAAAAATATTGAGGTCAAGCAGTGTAAGCGATTTCAACATAGATTTTTTTTTTGGTATTTATACAATAGGTATGAGAAAAATTTGATGTTCCATCGGTTCTGGTCTATTGATGATTCTCAATTGCACACAGAATATTCAGCATTAAGATCCATTGTTGTAACAAACTATGAAGAAACTATCAAAATGCCAATTAATGAACCAGCACCTGGTAAGAGGAAAAGTCAGATTCAGGTGAGTCCAATATAGGTTTAAGTTGAAGCATTTCAGAAAAAATTAGAAAAAGGGGCGTTTTATTTCGTATGAAAATGTGTAATAAACCTGAAAAAGAAAAATTCAGAATATTCTACAAGAAAAAATGGTTTTTAAATATTCAAAAAGAAAAATGGTAAATAAAAATATAAAAGAAAATAAAGAAATAGTGACGATCTATTTTGGTTTTACAATTGGATTGAGAAAACAAAAAAGCAGTTGTATATTCATATATTTTATTCATAATATTAATGTGTTCTCACTTTCTTTTTTAAATTTGATATTATTGAATCATATGCACATGACAAAATAAGGGGAGATAACTCAAAGTTTTTCTCTAACCATGATAGTCTCATGGTAAGCACACACCTTTTTGAGTTAAAGCAAGTAGTGGTCAGATTTAAGTAAGAATAATGTTTCCAAGTTGGATAACACTTGGTCTATTACACAGTATTTACCAAAGTCAAATCACAATTAATATATTCTTGTCCTTTAAATATGGAGCGTATCCAATAGATATTAAATATCCATCCATTTACAATGTACATTTCATGTGCATGTTTGGAAAGGAAAAAATGAATAAGAATTCCAAATTAAAAAAAAAAAACAAACAAAAACAAAAAACAATTATGGATTATGTTCTTGGTTTTGTGGTAATGCATGACTTTACCACTTAGCTACTTATGTTTTCAGGAATATGTGGACTTTTATGGAGGAGCAGGTGTACAGCATATTGCTATGCAGTCAGATGATATTATCAGTACAGTAAGTAATGTACCTTATCTTAAGGATCCTTAGATAAAACAGTAAGAAAAAAAAAAGTCATGTATCTATTGCAGTACTGTATATTAATGATATGCAAATAAGGCACCAAATACATAGAAAAAAACAAAATGTGTCCAAATTTTAACATGGATTTTTATACGACCGCAAAATAAAAAAATAAAAATTCTGCAATTAACCGAATTATGCAATAAAGCGGTATGCGATTAAGTGGAGTCTACAGTAGTAACCCTGACTGATAAAAGGCCCCAGGATAGGAAATAATTCAAAAGATAAACTGAATAGCCTAACTTAAGCTATTGACATTAAATAAAAAACTGATATGGTAGACAGCAACCAATGATAACCACTGGAATACAACCTCTAGGCTTGGTACAGGCAAACGAAGAATGTGGCAGGGTTAAACATCTTTGTATGCACTCAATCCTAATCTGTGACAATGCTGTACAAATACAAAATTAGAACATAGTGTAAAAATGTGTTTAAAAGGGTATTCCTTCATCAGAGTACAAAAATCAACTAACAAAATGATATTAGATGCAAATAATCAATCTGTATGCTTGCATGAAAACTGTTGATAGCATTGAAGGAAAGATATCTGTGATCCCAATAACACTTCAGTCTTTATTAGAAATGGAAATTATTATTTAAAATATGTTCACTGTTTAGAGTTTTGATTTTTATAGGTAACTAAGTTACGGGAGAGAGGGATGATGTTTTTAGACATACCAGATACTTACTACAAAAATCTCAGGGAAAGACTGAAGAAGTCAAAATGTAAAGTCAAGGAAAATTTAGATACAGTATGTATTACAATGATAGATTGAGTAGATACAGTATGTATTACAATGATAGATTGAGTAGATACAGTATGTATTACAATGATAATCATAGATTGAGTAGATACAGTATGTATTACAATGATAATCATAGATTGAGTAGATACAGTATGTATTACAATGATAATCATAGATTGAGTAGATACAGTATGTATTACAATGATAATCATAGATTGAGTAGATACAGTATGTATTACAATGATAGATTGAGGAATAATTGACCATTTGGGGTAGTTGGTTGAAATTTTCTTTCTAACTAAAAGTACCCTTAAAATGAAAATTCAGGAGCATTGCATTTGCGCCAATTTTTACAAAATCCAATCTTTCATTTGGACCAAAAAATAAAAACTACATTTGCGCCATTTTACAGGTAACATATTACGGAAAAATTTAAATATTCATTTCTATTTCGTGAATATTTTTTTTAGAATATTCCCCCTGTGTAATTAAGTGAGTTCATCATGCCTCATTTCTAATATAAAACTGAGAGTCACTAAGGTTTAAAATTATATAGTGTTCACGTGTCTGAAATTTCAAGATGGACATTGTCAATTCTGAGATAAACAGGCCGTTAGCTTTCTCAATTGAATTGTTTCATATTTTTCATGTTGGGACCGATTATAGCCGACAATACAGTATGGGTTTTTCTCATTGTTGAAGGCCGAACGGTTGCCTATAATTGCTTATATCCCCTTCATTTGAACTTAAGTGGATAGTTGTGTCATTGACACTTCCTTATTTTTATATAGAGGAAATAAGTCTCTATTTTTGACCACACAAATATAGGTTATCTAATGTACATTGTACATGAGTACATCCTGACCGTTACTTACAAGTCTTGTGCCAGAACAAACATTTGGTTTTACTTCAGGGTATAGTCCTAAGAACTTGTCAGTGTATAGTGCTTTCATTATGGTTATGATGACTGATTTCGGATGAATATGTTTTATTATGCAAACAAAAACTGTTTTAAAGTTATTATTAAAAGTTTCTTTTGAATAAATCTATTGTTTTATACTATTTACCTGTAATTACCTGTATTATTGGTGCAAATGAAATCTTTTATTTTGGCGAAAATGAAAGATTTTTTTGGCGCAAAAGCAAAGCACCGTTAAATTCATAATTATATCCTAATCCAAAAGAGGGGTATACTGGTTTACCTCTATCTACACAGGTTAAGTTCTTCTGTTTTATCAATGACAGTTTTATAAACGAAATTACATTACACTCAAAATTTATTTCTGATAGAAAAAAGTCAATTTCTGACAAAAACGTCATTAAAAATGTCCCATCTTGATTAATTTGATCGAAATTAAGAATTTAGTGTCATTAATTTGAATTCAAAGTCAGTCATGACTGAAATATTTTTCAGTTTCTTGACCCTTGAAACACATTGATAAAAGAGAAAAGAACAAATAATTCTCTGCTTATAGACTTAATTTTTTAAAAATGTTTTTGTCTCTTTTAAATTTCTTTAACAATATTTAATGCAATTTTTTTTCAGATACAAAAACTGAAGATTTTGATTGATTATGATGAGAATGGTTACTTGCTACAAATATTTACCAAGATTATGCAGGACAGACCCACATTGTTCTTAGAAGTTATACAGAGGAAAAACCATCAGGTATACAATAATTACACCTATCAACAGCAATAGTGTTATATTAAATGTTTTAGAAAATTTTGAGAATTTTTAGAAAAAAAACTGACAGTCGATAATCATACAAATTTTAAATACTTACTCCTCGCAACAAAGAAAATTGATAATCATACAAAAAAGTAAAACAGCAAAAATACTGAACTCCAAGGAAAATTCAAAACGGAAAGTCCTTTATCAAATGGCAAAATCAAAAGAAACACATCAAATGAATGGAAAACAACTGTCATATTCCTGACTTGGTACAGGCATTTCCTTATATAGAAAATGGTGGATTTAACCTGGTTTTATAGCTAGCTAAACCTCTCACTTGTATGAGAGTCGCATAAAATTCCAATATATTGACAACAATGTGTGAACAAAACAAACAGACATTGCACATTGTCAAATACCTTTTTTTCTTTATTTTCAGGGAAATTTTTTGTGTTTTTTTTTTAGTTTTGGGGAAAAAAATATTTTAATTTTTCAAATTTATTTTTCTAATTTTTTGTTTCCAAATTAATTTATTTTTTATTTTGCAATTTTAATTTTTTTTTTTCTAATTTTATTTCTTAATTATGGCAAAATTTTTATTTTTTGGAATTTTTGGCATAATTTTATTTGTCCCCAGGTGAACAAGGGTTGGGTGTTATTTACACCCGGGTAATAAACCAATCAGATTGCAGGATTTTTGCTGCATAAGAAATAAAAGACCATATCATGGCCGGACAATAAACTGAAGTGTATAATGGATTGAAAACACTTTAAAAAAGATCTTAAAGTGACAAAAAGAATGCTTCTCCACATGTTGCACCTCTGGTATGTTACTCATTGTAAAATCTGCAAAGAAATCAATTCTGGTCCCTTTATTTGTGGAAAATTTTGATGGTCTTTTTCATACAGATATTCTGTAAAATTGACCAAGTTAAGATTGCAACTGAATAACTTTCAAAGTGATGATTAACAAGATTTCCTCGATTGCAGCAAATTTTTAATCGAGGAATTCTTGTTAGGAATGTGTCAAAAAAGTTTTCTCCTCAAGAAAGACAATCCCAATAATAATCTTTTGCTGATAAATAATAATTTTGATTTTAGGTAAGTCAGTGATGAAAAAAAATAATTTGTAAGAAATATATACATGATTTAGTATAAATGTTTTAATCCATTGATTTTCACTTTGCTTGGATGGTGTATAAATCATCAGGTCCGGGAACACAGTTATCGTCCTTTGATTTTTCGTTTTCTACAAATATTGTCACTAGTGTGGACAGTGTATTACTTGCAATGTTTTTTCATACCCCTTCCAAATTTATTTCTTCATGTTTTATGCCTCAAATAGCAAGTAGGGTGATGAAATTACACTGTAACAAAATTTGGGTTATGAATTTTAAAGTAAAGTAGTGATTTGGTCCAACTGAAAAAGGTTAATCAAAGCACGAAAGCGCTGTAAAGGCAGTTAATTACAGGTTGTGTGTATTTTAAGTCCAGTTATATCATTATCTTGCATAGTACAGTGTACTTATCAGAGGTGGCTTTCAGTATTTAAGATTTAGAGTTCTCTAATGATATTGAATAAGTTTTATTAATGTCATATTCTGAGCACTATATGAAGGCGATTGTTCTCACTTGTTTATGAACAAAGCCAAACAAGTACAAAGTTGAAGAGCATTGAGGACCTAAAATTCCAAAAAGTTGTGCCAAATACGGCTAAGGTAATCTATTCCTTGGATAAGAAAATCCTTAGTTTTTATACAACCGCAAAAAAAATTTTGTGGTCGTATATTGGTATGACGTTGGCGTCGTCGTCGTCGTCCGGCGTCGTCGTCGTCCGAATACACATTAGTTTTCGCACTCTAACTTTAGTTTAAGTGAATGAATCTCAATGAAATTTTACCATAAGGTTCAATACCACAAAAGGAAGGTGGGGATTGATTTTGGGGGTTATGGTACCCACAGTTAAGGAATTAGGGGCCAAAAAGGGGCCAAAAATAAGCATTTTTGTAACTTCCAGACATAACTTGTGTGTAAGTGTATGGATCTCTCTGACATTGTACCACAAGGTTCCATATCACAAAGGGAATGCTGGGATTGATTTTGGGGGTAATTGCCTCCAAATTTTAGGAATAAGGGGCCAAAAAGGGGCAAAAATCAAGCATTTTTCTAGTTTCATGACAATAACTTGTGTGTAAGAGTATGGATCTCTCTGACATTGTATCACAAGGTTCCATATCACAAAGGGAATGCTGGGATTGATTTTGGGGGTAATTGCCTCCATATTTTAGGAATTAGGGGCCAAAAAGGGGCGAAAAACAAGCATTTTTCTAGTTTCATGACAATAACTTGTGTGTAAGTGTATGGATCTTTATGAAATTGTACTACAAGGTTCCATATCACAAAGGGAAAGCTGGAATTGAGTTTGGGGGTAATTGCCCAAAAAGTTTAGGAATAAGGGGCCAAAAAGGGGCAAAAAATAAGCATTTTTCTAGTTTCCAGACAATAACTTGTGTTCAAATGTATGGATCTCTCTGAAATTGTACTGCAAGGTACCATACCTCAAAGGGAAAACTGGGATTGATTTTTGGGGGTAATTCCCTCAAAATTTTAGTAATTAGGGGCCATAAAAGGGCAAAAAACAAGCATTTTTCTAGTTTCAGGACAATAACTTGTGTGTAAGTGTATGGATCTTTATGAAATTGTACTGCAAGGTTCCATATCACAAAGGGAAAGCTGGGTTTGAGTTTGGGGGTAATTGCCCTAAACGTTTAGGAATTTGGGGCCAAAAAACAAGCATTTTTCTAGTTTCAAGACAATAACTTGTGTTCAAGTGTATGGATCTCTCTGAAATTGTACTGCAAGGTACCATACCACAAAGGGAAAGCTGGGATTGAGTTTGGGCCAATGGGGTGATGAATCATAAGGGGGTTCAAAAAAATTTGGGGGATTTTTTTTTCTTTTTTTCATACATGTAAACCTCCCGACGGGAGTACAATAATCCCGTTTTCAGGGGTCTCCTCCCGACCTCGCGTTGAAGAGAAAAAAATCCTGTGTATGAAATCTGCCCAACATATCATCTCAGACATCTGGTGTAACTGACATCACCTGAAGTTATATTTTACCTGTAAATCAATTAACATGCATAATTATATGGCTTCACTTGTCAGCTTGGGTGTCAAACATACTGGTAATCAACGATTTTTACCTCAGGCTAACTGCCGTTGTGTAATAAAAACTTTGTGTATTTATTGGGTTACTTCCCCTGATTTATCCTGTTTTAAGTTACTTTCCTTTAAATAATGTAAATTTTTAAAAGAATATAAATAAAATATAAATTGAACAAATAATCATAAAAGGATGGTAATTAAATGATTTTAAATGTCTTAGGACAAATAAAAAAATAATAATTTGAAAATTATTTGAGGGTTCTATACTTTCTTTCAAGGCTTAAATTGAATTCATATAATAACTATGACCCATGTTAGAAATTTAAATGAGTTTCTGATTATTCAAATAAAATCTAACTGCAAATGCAGATAGGTAAACAAATGATCTGATTGCAATGTTTGTCCTATAGAATAATGATATATAAGATATGAATTGAAAAATTTAAAGAACATACTAAAAAAAAAGAATCTTAGATTGAACATGTAGAATATTAAGATAAAGAAACTTTATAAGTACAAGGGTACTATAAACATAATACATAATACATTCGGATTGAAAGTTGAAGAAAACACACTTTAAAAGACAATTTTTACAGCACACGGTTACATTTACGACAAACTTTATGTCGATTAAAAACCTCCTGATCTGAGTCCTAATCTCCTGACCAAAATTTTCCAATCTCCTGATCTGAGTTTCACAGTCCATCACATGTATGTTTTTTTCTTTAAAATTTTCCATTTTAAATTGGTTATTTCTGATGTACATGTATATATAAAAGCAAATAATAATGATATGGTTTGAATAGGTAAATTAAAAAATTTTAAGTTCTTAGACCACTTTCATTCTGTGTGAGAAACCTATGCTGTGTCAAATATTTAATTACAATCCAAATTCAGTGCTGTATCAAGCTTGAATGTTGTGTCCATACTTGCCCCAACTGTTCAGGGTTCGACCTCTGCGGTCGTATCAAGCTGCGCCCCAGCGGAGCATTTTATTTCATTGGCAATCATAACACATCTCCTTATTTATATAATGATCTATATTTAACGACCTCAGGTACCAAAAAAATGTATGTAACTAAACTATGATGGGAAACCTTTGACTTCTTTCTTTATATAAACTTTTGATTTGGTACCATAGAACTATGTAGAGTAAATGTACATTGCAACATGTCAACTCTTTCAACTCCAAGCAAAATTATATTTCCAAGCATAAAGTAATTTATGAATGAAATAAAATGCTCCGCTGGGGCGCAGCTTGATACAACCGCAGAGGTCGAACCCTGAACAGTTGGGGCAAGTATGAACACAACATTCAAGCTTGATTCAGCACTGAATTTGGATTGTAATTAAATATTTGACACAGCATAGGTTTCTGACACAGAATGAAAGTGGTCTAAGATACTTAAAAAAATTTAATTTACCTATTCAAACCATATCATTATTATTTGCTTTTATATATAAATCAGAAATAACCAATTTAAAATGGAAAATTTTAAAGAAAAAAAAGGAAAAAGAATCCCCCCCCCAAATTTGTTGAACCCCCTTATGATTCATCACCCCAAAACTTAATCCCAGCCTTCCCTTTGTGGTATGGTACCTTGCAGTACAATTTCAGAGAGATCCATCCACTTGAACACATGTTATTGTCTGGAAACTAGAAAAATGCTTGTTTTTTGGCCCCTTTTTGGTCCCAAATTCCTAAACGTTTAGGGCAATTACCCCCAAACTCAAACCCAGCTTTCCCTTTGTGATATGGAACCTTGTAGTACAATTTCATAAAGATCCATACACTTACACACAAGTTATTGCCATGAAACTAGAAAA